AGAGCGCACGCGAGTGGGGGGAGGGACGGAAGGAGAGGGAGAGGGAGTCTCTAGGAGACTCCCTAGGGACTCAGTCTCAGAACCCTGAGATCATGACCTGAGCCGAAATCAAGAGTCGGATGCTCAACTGATCCACCCAGGAGCCCTGTATACTGTCACTTTTGCTTTCTCTTTTCTGCTCAGAGTCCTTTTTAATATTTCTTACAGGGCTGGTTTAGTGATCATGAACTGCTTTAGTTTTTGTTTGTTTGTGAAACTCTTGTCTCTTCTTTTATACAGAATGATAGCTTTGCTGTATAGAGTATTCTTGGCTGCAGATTTTTCCCCTTCAGCACTTTGAATAGATCATGCCACTCCCTTTTGGCTTGTAAAGTTTCTGTTGAAAAATCTCCTGCTAGCCTTATGATTTTTCCTTTGTAAGTTAAGGATTTCTTTAGTCTTACTGCTTTTGAGATTTTTTTTCTTTGTTACTACATTTTGCAAATTTAATTACAATATGTCTTGGTATCAGTCTGCTTTTGTTTATTCTTTGGGGGGGGGGTTTTCTGTGCCTCTTGGATCTGGATTTTGCTTCCTTCCCTAGATGGGCATGTTTTTTAACTATTATTTCTTGAAATAAATGTTCTTCCCCCACCCCTTTCTCTCTCTTCTTCTTTTGGGCCTCCTGTTATTTGAACGTTATTACATTTGATGGATTCACTGAGTTCCCTAAGTCTATTCTTTTGTTGCATAGTTCTTTTGTCTCTCTTTTGTTCAGCTTGATTCCTTTCTACTACCCTTTCTTCCCAGTCACTAATTCATTTCTCTGCTTCTTCTGTCCTGCTGTTCTTTTCATCAAGTGTGTTTCTCATTTCATTTATTGTGTCCTTTATCTCTGCTATGTCTTTCCTTATCTCTGTATTAAGGGTCTCACTCATATCTTCCACTCTTCTCAAGTCCAGTGAGTTTCCTTATCATTTTTTGCATTCTCTATCAGGCATGTTACTTATGTCTCTGGCTATGGCCTTGTCCAGTTCTTTCATCTGGGATAAGTTTTTGTCTCCTCTTTTTTTTCTGGCTCTCTAAGTCTGTTTTTGTGTGTTAAGAAAGTCATCTGTGTCTTCTGCTTTTGAAAGTAGTGACTTTATGAGGTGCCTGGGTGCTTCAGTGGGTTGGGCATCCAACTCTTGGTTTCGGCTCCGGTTTTGATCTCAGGGTTGTGACGTTGAGCCCCATGTCGAGCTCCACATCAGACTCCCTCATTTTAGGAAAAGTCCTCCACGTCAGTCCAAAATCATTATGAACATATCTCTCTCGTGTTTTCCTCCAGCTTTGTGTGAACTTCCATTTTAATGTTGCCTCCTCATAGGTTGCTGTCTCTTTAAGGGGAGCAACTCCCAGCTATCACTTGCCGTCCTGGCTTGCCCAGTGCTGAGTCAGCTGACCTCCAAAGCTCCAGGTTCTAAGCCCCACTGGTTTTACAAACTCATGGAATTCAACCTCTCTGGTTCTTAAAGCCATGTGTTATGGGATTAGTTTTCCTTAAGTACCTGTTTCTCAGCAATCTTTGTATGCACAGCTAGTCCCTACTGCAGGCAGCCTTCTTCACCTCTGACCTTCCTAACCTTTGAGGTGATGCTTCTGCCCTACATTTAGTCATGGAGTTTGTTCTGCCAGTCTTTGGATCACTCTCCAGTTTATTGACTTGGATGTGGATGATACCTAGTTGAAAACATGGGATGGGGTGAGCTCCGGGTCCTCCTATTCCACCATCTTGCCAAGCTCTGACTCTCTCTTCTGCCCATATTGTAACTGGTTTATTTCTTGTGTTGAGTTGTATAATTTCTTTATTTATTTTGGATAATAACCCTTTATTGGATATGTCATTTGCAAATATCTTCTCCCATTTAGTAAGTTGTTTTTCAGTTTCATTGATTGTTTCCATTGCCTTACAGAAACTTTTATTTTGATATAGTCCCAATAGTTCATTTCTGCTTTTATTTCCCTTGCCTCAGGAGACATATCTAGAATAATGTTGGTACAGCCAGTGTCACAGAAATTACTGCCTGTGTTCCCTTCTAGGATTTTTATGGTTTTAGGCCTCTCATTTAATTCTTTCATCCATTTTGAATTTGTTTTTGTGTATGGTGTATGAAAGTAGTCCAGTTTCATTCTTTTACATGTAACTCTCCAGTTTTACTAACACTATTTTTCAAAGAGACTTGTCTTTTCCAATTGCATATTCTTGTCTCTTTTGTTGAAGATTAATTGACCATATAATTGTGTGTTTATTTCTGGGCTTTCTATCCTGTTCTGTTCATCTGTGTGTCTGTTTTTGTGCCAGTATCATACTGTTTTGATTACGATGGCTTTGTGGTATAACTTGTGCAATTGTGATACCTCTAGCTTTGCTTTTCTTTTTGAAGATTGTTTTGGCTAATCAGGGATTTTTTGTGGTCATATTCAAATTTTAGAATATTTTGTTCTAGTTCTCTGAAAAATGTTGTTACTTTGATAGGGTTTGCATGAAATGTATAGATTGCTTTGCGTAGTATGGTCATTTTAACGGTATTTGTTCTTTCAATCCATGAGCATGGAATATCTTTCCATTTCTTTGTGTCATCTTCATCTTTCATCAGTATTTTATAGTTTTCAGAGTACAGGTCTTTTGCCTCTTTGGTAAGTTTATTCCAAGGTATTTTATCATTTTTGGTGCAATTGTAAATGTGATTGCTTTCTTTCTTTTTCTTTCTGGTGATTCATTATTAGTGTATTGAAATTCAACTGATTTCTGTACATTGATTTTGTATCCTGCGACCTTAGTAAATTCATTTATCGGTTCTAGTAGTTTTTTCGTTTTTTTTTTTTAGGTTTTCTATATATAGTATCATGTCATCTACAAATAATGAAAGTTTTGCTTCTTCCTTACCGATTTGGATTCCTTTTATTTGTTTTTGTCATCTGATTGCTGTGGCTAGGACTTCCAGTACTGTGTTGAATAAAAGTGGTGAGAGTAGACATCCTTGAATTTTTCCTGACCTTGGGGGGAAAGGTTTCAGTTTTTTATCATTGAGCGTGATGTTATCTATTGATTTTTCACATATGACCTTTATTATGTTGAGGTATGTTCCCTATAAACCTATTTTATTGAGGATTTTCATCATGAAAGGATGTTGTGCTTTGTCATATGCTTTTTCTGCATCTATTGAAATAATTATATGGTTCTTATTCTTTCTTATATTGATGTGTGTATCACATTGATTGATTTGTGAATATTGAACCACCCTTGCATCTCAGGAATAAATTCCACTTGATTGTAGTGAATGATTTTTTAAATGTGTTGTTGGATTCAGTTTGGTAGTATTTTGTTGAGTATTTTTGCATCCATGTTTATTGGGGATATTGGCTTGTGGTTTTTTTTTTGTTGTTTTTTTTTTTGTAGTTTCTTAATCTGGTTTTGTATCCAGTTAATGCTGGTGTCATAGAATAAATTTTGAAGTTTTCCTTCCTCCTCTATTTTTTGCAATAGTTTGAGAAGTCATATTTTCCCTTTTTAAAAGCTTCGTATATCATGTACATTTTATTGTGTCAGTAATATAATATTTTCAATTGTTATCTTAGAATATAGTCCCTTATATAGAGATATAACAATTTAATAATTTCTTCTGTTGTCATTTAGATTGTTGTTTTCTGTCTGTCAGTCTTTCTGTCTGCCAGTCTGTGTCTTCTTTAACTTTTTGTCTGTCTTCTTTTGTCTGTCTGTGTGTGTCTCTCTGTAGCAAACACTCTTGTACACAGATCTTTATAAACATCCCTGATTCTTTTTTTTTTAAGATTTTATTTATTTGACAGACAGAGACACAGCGAGAGAGGGAACACAAGCAGGGGGAGTAGGAGCGGGAGAAGCAGGCTTCCTGTGGAGCAGGGAGCCCAATGTGGGGCTTGATCCCAGGACCCTGGTATCATGACCTGAGCCAAAGGCAGACGCTTAACCGACTGAGCAACCCAGGTGCCCCATCCCTGATTCTTTTTAATGCTTCATTCCTAGAAGTAGAATTAATGGGTGAAAAAGTGACAAACAAAAAACAAACAAAAAACCCAAACTCATTAATACAGAGAATAAAAGTGGTTGGCAAAGGGGAAGTTGTTTTGTTGGGAGGGATGCACAGCAAAGGGAATATAGTCAATGACATTGCAATAACGTTGTTTGGTGACAGATGGTGAGTACATTTACCATGGTGAGCACTGAGTAATGTATGGAATTGTTAATTCAGTGTGTTGGACACCTGAATTCAATGTAACTGTGCATGTTAATTATAATTCAATTAAAATAAATTAATAAAACTAATGAAAATACATGAAGACAAAAAATTCTAAAATACAGGGGTGCCTGGGTGGCTCTGTCTGTTAATTGTCTGCCTTTGGCTTGGGTCGTGATGCCAGGGTCCTGGGATCTAGCCCTGGGTCAGGCTCTCTGCTCAGCGGGGAGCCTGCTTCTCCCTCTCCCCTTGCTTATACTTTCTCTCTCTCTCTGTCAAATAAACAAATAAAATCTTTAAAAAAAATTTTTTTAAACACATATTGCTAGATGGGCTGTCCAAAAAGGTTGGACCAGTATACATTTCCAATAGCAGTGCATTTTCTTTTGTTTAAAGAGCCAATTTGTGGGATTAAGAAAATTTTGGAAATGAATGACTGAACGATCTTTGCATTTTGGAAAAATAGAGTAACTCTTCTGATTTTTTGTCTTTTTTTGTCTTTTTATAAAAGTTGTATTCCTTTTTCTTTCCCATGGGGATCACATTTCTAATTCATATTTTGCTAATTTAACTCATATTTGCCATAGAATGGGTGTTAAGGCACTATTTCAATAGGGAAAAACAATCTTTTTATATTCTCAACAGTTTACACTATTATTCCATATATTGAATGTAAGCTCATCTAGATGTTCCTTAGTTGATTTGCAAAGAGAAGATAATAAATAACTGTGACTCTTAAATTGGTGACATGTTTGTGCCCAGGTGTCAGTATCTGGAGACAATATGGTGGAATGTCAACTGGAGACACACAACAACAAGATGGTCACCTTCAAGTTTGATGTTGATGGTGATGCACCAGAGGATATTGCAGACTATATGGTAAGTATAATAAAACCAAATTATTTTCCCTTTAGCATTCTGTCTCCTTTTCCCCTCATATTCTCCCCTCATTTATTCAGAGCAATCGCTTTTAGAGTACCATTAGTTTTTAAAATTTGCACAGAACTATATTACTTATGATCAAAAGTAAGCCACTGTAACATCTTTCATTTCAGTATATTTATCTCTAAAATATGAGGGGGTTTTATTAAGAGGTTATCTAGGTCAATGATTCTTATCCCTGACTGCATGTTAAAGTCACCTTAAGAGCTTTTTAAAAACAAATCCATTGCCTGGGTCCCTAATTAAAACAGAATCTTTGGACATAAGGCCTAAGCATCACTAGTTTGTAAAATACCCCAGGTAATTCTAATGTGTTAGCTACTGATATATCATCTTACAAATAGGTGTTTAAGTAATGCTCATCATTTCTTTTAGTTTTCATATTTTCTTTGAATTGAGGCTTAAGTTAGTAGTTTTGCCCTTTTTTTAATGCGCTTAAGTAAGGGTGGAAGGAAGAGTACTTAATGCTTTTGTTTCTGACAGTTTTCTTCAGATATGCATTCCTGGAGAAACAGAATTAAACATTTTAAAAGTTAATAATGTTAGTTCTGCCTCTTGTTTTTGTTTTCAGTAAATATTTTATTGATCTAATAATTGTTACACAGGAAATAAAACTAAAATTCTTTAGTAACAGTTCTTCTTTTTTTAAAACTTACATATATTATTTGTTTCAAAAATACAGGTCTGTAATTCATCCGTCTTACACAATTCACAGCGCTCACCATGGCACGTACCTTCCCCAATATCCATCACCCAGCCACCCCATCCCTCCCATCCCCCCTCCACTTCAGTTCTGCCTCTTGTTTAACATAATATTTTCTGAACTCTCCAGTTCTTTATAACCTTTAGAGATGTTTCATTTTGTGATTTAAAAACTTGGGTTTGGGCATCCTAGTGGTAATCATAAATATTGCCTCAGTTATGTTCCTCAAATGATAATTTATAGAATGTGAGATGTTTTTAAAATGCTGGCTTTTTCTATGGTAGGTAGTTCCAATCTGACAAATGTCAGCGGTCTCAAAATAAGAATAAGTTAATGTTTTATGTGGCATTTTAGTGTGGTCTTTTTTTTTAAGATTTATTTATTTTAGAGAGCACAGGAGTGTAAGCCGGGGGAGGGGCAGAGGGAGAGAATCTCAAGCAGACTCCCCGCTGAGTGTGGAGCCTGATGCTGGGCTCAGTCTCAAGACCCTGAGATCATGACCTAGGCTGAAACCAAGTGTTGGATGCTCAACTGACTAAGCCACTCAGGTGCCCCAGTGCTGGTTGTTTTTAATTCTGTTGTGGCCTTTGTATCTAAATACTTAATTTTCATTTACTTTTCTTTCTTTTTTTTTTTTT